ATTATGCCTAAATTTTATAATTAAACGGTATATCTTTTTCTGTGTGGTACACGCTTTTGTGAAAGTTTGGGGTTCAGCTTATATTGCAGGGTTTCTCTGGGATCAAAACTTGTCAATTTCAACGAGAAACAATGTCTCAATTTAGGGGTGCGGCTACTATTAAAACTGCGGCCTCAATTACGATTCTTATGGCAATGCCTACAGTTCAAAATATTTTGACAGTTCAGCAATTTTGACTGACCGGAGTCTATATTGGGTAATTAAACATAGTGAATTAGAATTCTTCTTTCTTAATATTTTATATTAACTTCATTGTCACTATTTTGTACTTATCAGTCACCCCCTACAATTGCACTAGAGATTCTTTTCAGACTTTGAATTATGATTGTCATTAGTCATTTTTTTTTATAATATAGTTTTGTTTGTTTTTCTTAGTGAACTTGATAAAATGTATATATTGTTGTGCGTTTTTTTTATTTAGTTGCACTCTTATTTTTTTTCTCTCTGTTCTGTAGTTTTAGTGACCTTACTGCTGTACTTTCCTAAGTCAGTGTTGTGTCAATAAATATACCATACCTACCTTGTCATACTCTGTAATATGAATTACAATTCTGGTTCCCTAAAAACTCTGAATCCAAGACACCTGTGTGTTGTGTATTTATTGTGGCATAGTTGTTGTGCTATGACGCCCTCTAAGTTTGACCTAGAAGAACTTCGGCAGAGCTCCAGAAGGAGTACCTACACTTTATGCAAATTTTTTTTAAATTATGCTAATTTATTCATGACGTAGCAGTTTCTGTGCTCATGAATATTCATTAATTTGTGGCTCAATACATTTTAAAAGGGGCGATATATTATTTTTGGGGGAAGAGTTAGAAAGGGGGATTAGCAATCCTTAGGGGGTCAATACAAAAGAAGGGACCCATTTGGAGAGCAGCCATGCTCCTCGTGTCTGTTGTTGCACGTGACCTACAGCTGTCAACTGTGTTCGTTCTTCGACTGTGTTCGTTCTTCGACGACTTCGGCTGGCTTCCACGTGGGGTAGTATTCTTGTGTTCTGTTTTCCTGACTTGAGTTTTTGAATCCGCTGTTTATGTTTTTAACGTCTTTCATGTCTTTTGTAGGAGTGTCCAATCCGTGATTCGAACTTGCGATCTTTTAGTTCCCAGCGCACTGTCTTGTCCACTGTACCACGAGTGTCTTCACACAGGAGTTAGGATTTAAGTCTTATTCATAGGAGCACTGTCTTCACTAGCATTCAAAAATCTAACTAAACATACTGGATTCGAACCAGCGATCGCTCACATTGCTGTCATAGTACAAATCAACTGAGCTATGTGGGTGGTCATGCAAATTAAATAATTTGTTGTCATATTTAGCTTTATTGCCAAATGGTGTTTGCGAGAAAAAGATGGGCAGGCAAGGGAATTGAACCCAGGTCCTCCTGATCACTATGTAGAGAACTGACCCACAAGACCACAATGGATTAACTGGATGTGTTTGCATTTG